TTTTTTTTGCAGGACTGTGTGATTCCTCTGTGCAGTGATGTTTTGAGCTCGTGTAAACGGCAGGACGTTCAGCCGTTCCTCCAGGCCCTCAGATACACCATGTTCCAGAGACAACTCCTCCACAAACTCAAAGGTTTGTGTCTGCGAGGTCGTGGTTTCAGATCTTGTCTCCACGTCTGTCCTGTGATGATTGAACAAAACACAGCTGCACTAAAACATTCACGTTTTCCTCTTCATCCCTCCTCAGGCTACTCCTCATCCTTAGACGGTCATCTGGTGGAACTGTGTCTGACTGCAGTCAAATTTGCCAGGAAGAAAGGAAACATCGGCCTGGCCTCCCGACTTCTGAGTCAGTGCAGCGGCGGGACGCACGAGGAGAAAGGAGACGATACGCAGGACGATCTGAGCAACACCTTCAGGCGTCTCTCTCTGGAAGGCACCTTGGCAGAGAAATGGGGATCGGAGCTGCAGATAGAAAAGGCCAAAGTCCTTCGAAACGCAGGTGAGAAGAAAATGTGACTTAAGTGATTTCACATCAGCGATACAGTTCCCCGGGCCACATTTGGACCACAGGCCTTGAGTTTGACACATGTTCTAGAGAATACTCTGTGACGTTCTCCTCCTCCTCTACAGGTCAGTCCATGACGGCCATGGAGATGCTGAGCGGTGCCGCTCTGTCCTACTGTCGCGTGGAGAAGAACGAAGGCGCTGCCTGTCGCTCGCTGCTGACTCTCTGCAAATGGCTGCTGGCCGACTGGAAGGACATGACGCCAGTGCTGAAACAGGTGCGCAGCTTCACAGCGACATTGAGTTGACATTTGACCTTTTACTTTTGTTTCCTGATGGATCACATGTCAATTAAATGTATTCTAAGAACAGGAGACGGTGGAAAAAAAAAAACAACCTTTGACCTTAACTGTACGTGTGGAGAATGATGTAAAGTGATGCATTTTTTTCTTTCCGGCTCATTTAGGTGATGAAGAAATCAGGAACAGTCAACTCGTCCACTTCTGTGAGCAGCATGTCACCTCTGAGCCGCAATGTGGCAGCACTGTTAGAGCTCCCCCTGGAGGAGCAGCCTCACATCATTACTGAGACCTCAGGTAACGTCCCTGCTGAGCATGTCAGTGGTTGTGTCTCAGGTGACTGTGTTCAGTGTGGTCAGTTTGACTGCAGCTGTGTTTTGTCTCACTCTGCAGTCAGTGTTGGTGTTGGAGAGCCAGACTTTGTGTTGGGTCAACTGTACCAGCTCTCCACCAGTCTGGCTCCAGAGGTGGCCAAGTCCTGGGCCGCCCTGGCCAGCTGGGCTTACCGCTGGGGCAGGAAGGTGGTGGACAACGCCAGGTTGGGGACAGAATTGTTTGTCTTTATTGTAGTAGACTAGATAATACTGTCATGTACGTCCATGCTCTTCACTTCACTTCAACAACCGTGATGATGTGATGTTGCCTTTGCCCTCCACAGTCAGGGGGAAGGACTGCCCCTCCTTCCTGCAGAGAAAAGAGAAGTGGAGGAGTTGTTACCAGAAACGACCAGTGAAGAGGACAAGGAGACTATTTTTAGCATCCTGGGACAGGCCATGTGTCGGCCTACTGGAATACAGGTAAATGTTTCACCTGATTAATTATCATTTTGATTCTTCTCACATTGGATTATCTGTACTTTGGTCCAAACTTTAAATCTGACCTCCCCTGCTAACTGTAATGATGACAGAATTACCTAGAAATAACTACATGTTAACTGTTATAACAGAATTACCTAGAAATAACTATATATCCATTGTTTTTCCTCTATGTTTTCATGAAAAGAAGTACAAATATTTTAGAAAATACTCTATACAATATTTATTGAAATATCATTTGAAAAAAAAAAAAAATCACAGACAGTGTTTTTGTGCATGTAAATTCATGAAGTCGGCCGAATTGAGCCCCAATGGCGTGCTCGTTTTTAGCCCCCGAGCTGTATGTTTGACACCCCTGCGTCAGTGCAGTTTGTCCTGATTCTTCTGTTGTGTTCTCTGGTCAGGATGAAGACATGGCTCTGCAGCAGGAGGACGACGAGGACGACATGGTGGACGTCATCTGGCGACAACTCACCGCTTCCTGCCCCTGGCTGGTGGAGGCGGACCAGCCTGTCACTGACGGCCTGATTCAAGTCTGGAGACGGGTGGTGGATCGCATCTTTGGTCTGTACCGCGTCTCGTGCCAAGCCTATTTTACCTTCCTCAAGTTGAACGCAGGACAGGTGAGGAGTGGGAGAATTCAATGTCCAACTGCTGGAGACCCTCAGCTCTGGTGTCTTCAACTCTGTTGACTTTGTCTCTTCTAGGTCCCAATAGACGAAGACGACCCGAAGCTTCTGCTGTCCTGTCACAACAGCAAACAGAGCAATGATGACGTCATAGTCATGGCCACGCTGCGCCTCCTTCGTCTGCTGGTGAAACACGCTGGAGAACTCCGGGAAGGTCTGGAGCTGGGCTTGGCCTCCACCCCAACAGCACCCTGGAGAGGTGTGTCTCCCTGTCTATGTTTGAATCGTAATGTTCAGAAAATTTAGGGTCAGTCAACAATATTTTGAGGTGTGACTCACAACCATTTTTATAGCTTTCTGCCCCTCAGGAGGGCCCTGCCCCCCTACTTTGGAAACCGCTGGATTCGAATTGAATTGTTGAATTGGTTTGTGATTTAAATGGTTTTTTTAAAATCTAAAATCCTTGCGTGTGATGTGTTTCCTCCTCAGGCATCATTCCACAGCTCTTCTCCCGTCTCAACCATCCGGAGGCCTACATCCGACAGAGCATTTGCAGCCTGCTGTGCCGAGTGGCCCAGGACTCCCCTCATCTGATCCTCTACCCGGCCATTGTGGGCTCCCTCTCTCTAGGAGGGGAGGCTCAGAGTGCAGGTGTGTACAGTCCACTCACAATCATCTGTTAAAACATCTGCCTCACGTGGAACGGCATCTTCACCAAGTCAAATGTTGAATGATGTCTTGACAGGAAATAAGTTGCCCTCAGCTCTGCCCACCTTCCTGGGCAGCATGCAGGGAGAAGGTCTGGATGTGGAGGAGGAGGAGGAGCGGTCAGAGGGTGTTGGGCAAGAAGGAGGTCCAGATGAGTTGACGGCCATTTGCTCAAGTCAGGACCAGGCCATGATGCAGGACTGCTACAGCAAAATCGTGGAGAAGCTCTCCTTGGCCAACCCGACCATGGTGCTGCAGGTGGGACACGGAGATGGAGACGTTTTTGTTTGTTTGTTGGCGCCGAATGTTGTGGTCTAAAATAAAACTCTGTGTATGTGCACGTGTTCAGGTCCAGCAGCTGGTGGCTGAACTGCGGCGAGTGACTCTACTGTGGGATGAACTGTGGCTGGGCGTGTTACAGCAGCAGCACATGCACGTCCTGCGCCGAATCCAGCAGCTGGAGGACGAGGTCAAGAGGGTCCAGAACAACAACACACTGAGAAGGTGAGTTGTTTTTTGTTTCCTTCTCTCCTGGTACTGGTTCCTGTTCCTGTTTAACAAACGTCACACACACTGTCACTGTGCCGCAGGGATGAAAAGATCGCCATCATGCGTGAGAAGCACTCGGCTCTGATGCGTCCCATGGTTTTTGCCCTGGACCACGTTCGCAGCATCACAGCGACTCCGGCCGAGACTCCACACGAGACGTGGTTCCAGCAGACGTACGGTGATGCCATCACCTCCGCCCTGGAGCGTCTGAAGAACCCCGCCAACCCTGCAAACCCTGCCAGCAGCTGGCTGCCCTTCAAACAGGTGTGTGTTTGTCATTGACGTGTTCAGCTAAAGATTTCCAAA